ATTTTCTTAGCGCCATTTCTTAAATATTTGTGCATCTCTGTCAAGTAACAAGCAGCTGTAGCTATGTGAGCTTACTTCTGGGTTCTCTGTTATATTGTGTGGGTCTTTGAGTCTGTCTGCCTTTGTGCTGGAGCCATGTAGTTAATTACTGTGGCTCTATAATACACCTAACTCCGAGCTCTGATACTTCCAGCATTGCTCAGGATTCTTTTGTGCCCCCAGTATACATTAGGGTCGTTTATATATGTCTGCAAAGGATGTCAATGGGGTTGCTCTGATAATTGGATTGAGGCAGTAGACCATTTTCAATAGTGTAGCCACTTCCACAGCATCCTGCCAGCCTGTGGGCACGGGCTGTCTGCCTTCTAGCACGGTCTCTAGTTTATTCTTCAGTGGTTTAGAGCTTTCACTAAGGAGGCCCTTTGTTGCCTTAGGTTTATTCCTGGGGATGTTTTGTTTGCCTTGTGTTATTTGTTATTAATGAGATTGTCTCCAAGAAATATCTCTCTAAGTGCTATCTACTAAACACACATAGGAAAAAGAGAGTAAGCTCATCGTATTTTGTAGCTGGTTTGGGTTTTTTGGTTTTAAATTTTTATATTTGTGTGTGTGTGTGTGTGTGTGTGTGTGTGTGTAACATGGCACATGTATGGAGATTGGGGCACAATTTGTGGGAATCAGTCCTGTCTTTCATCAGGTGCCTTCTGGGGACAGAACTCAAGCTGCCAGCCTTGGCAGCAAGCACCTTTACCCACTGAGCTGTTTCACTGCTCTCGGATGGGTTTGTTACATGGATTTTGTTCTTTTGGTTTTGATTTTGGGTTTGTTTGTTTGTTTGTTTGTTTGTTTTTGTAACAGGACATCTCTCTATAGCCCCGGCTGTATTCTGGGCTGGCCTCGAACTCAGAGATTTGCCTGCCTTTGGCTCCCTAATGTTGGGATCCAAAGTGTGTACCACCATGGAATATTTATTTTGTATCATGCTATTTTCCTGAAAGTTTTCTTTGTCTATAAGAGTATTCTGATGGAGTTCTCAATGCCTTTGAAGTATAGGCTCATATTGTCTGCAAATACTCCGGGTTCTCTCTTTCCTGTGTGTAACTCATTTATTTTTCTCTTGTCTCTCTGCTCTCTAGAAAATAATCCCAGTGCTATACTGAGTAAAACTGGAGAGTGAGCACCTTTACTCATTCCTGAATTTACAGGAAATGCTTTCAGTTTTCCCACTTGGTATAACATAGGGTATAAGTTTATCATAGACAGCCTTGGTTTTTTCGTTTGTTTGTTTGTTTGTTTGTTTGTTTTTTAAGAAGTCACAGATGTTTCTGGAATCTCTTTTATTACCTTCTACAGTGCTGGTTCTGTGGTTGTGAATGGTTTAAGTGCACTTGTCCTGCTAGGTATATACGGCTCCTTTAGCACCAGCAGATGAAATTGCTGGGTCTAGTCATCTTGGCTGGCAATCATTTGTTCTAGGGATTGTATTATATTCATGCCTTTCTGGTTGATAGGCTCTCTCTGGTTAGTCTGAGACTTGTGTGAGTTGGTTTTTGTAAATGAGATGGCCTTCCACCCCTGGTTCAACTCAAATACATATTCATCTGAACCTTCTTCCTCTCAAGCTGTCCCTCTATGGTGACACTTTTTCCTCTTATTATTAACAACAATTATTTCATTTCTTCCCTAGCTAGACCTTTGCAAAGTATGAACCATGCTATGCCCTTCAATAGAACACTGCAATCAATATTTGAAAACTAAGGGGATAAGTCCTCAGATTCTGTTCTTTAGAGGATTTTCAATTTTGATGTCTGCTTCTTCAATGGTTTTCAAACGCATAAAGGCATTAAGAGATGAGGACATAGCTCAGTGGTCGAGTTCATTCTCAGAGCCCTGAATTCAGTCAACACAATACACTCACCAAACACAGGTGGGAAAAAATGGGCATTATTTGGGCTGCTTAGACGACCATCATAACCCCGAGAGCTGCCAAGCTCTTTCAGTATTCCATGTGCTTGCATTTATGGCACAAAAGACGAGAGCCAGCTGCACAGATCAGTGATGGGCATGCAGCAGGGGAAGACCAGTGGCAAGCTCTCTAAACAAAGGGTTTTTTCAGCAAAACAGCTTCGCGAACTGAAGCTTTGCAATAGCGTGAAGGGCCGTGCATGCCACAGTCAAAGACGGCTGTGTGGTCAGAGGCCAGAACCACGCAGATCTGCTGCTGGGTTCCATCAAGCTTGGGTTTTGTTGGTTTCTGGCATTGTTTGTATTTAATTTATGTTCATTTCTTCATCACCTGTGTATCTGTCTTTTAAGACTGGCTAGGAGCTTGAAGATACGGTTCACGTGCGGTTTTGGTTTCGTGCAGGTAAGAAACAGAATACAGCCATCTGAACCAATCCCAGTGGCAGCCAATATGGAAGACACACAAGTCTAGAGATTCATCAGCAGTAGTCTTTATGTTCTTATGCAGTAGAACCCTGCTGGGAGAGGGATTCCTACTCCATGAGTAGGTTTCAACTGCCCTGTCACAAAAGCATTTTCAGGGGTAACTCTGAGATAGCGGACATGTTAACTTACTTCACTACATCATACTAGCTAGTGTGTCCTGTAACACTCTATGTTCTTTACACAATGTGTGTTACAATGTGTATGTTCTTACATAATGTGTATTACAATATATATGTTCTTTACACAATGTGTACTATAACAATACACATTACTGTTCTATTAAAGAGCCTCACTGTAGTGTTTCCATACATGAATGTAACATATTTCAGTCTGGTTCATACTCCTGACTAAGCTATCTTACCGTCTCCTTCTCCCTCTCCCTAGTCCCCTGAACTTTCCATAGTGTTTCCTCTACTGGTTCCAGATTGTCTTTAAATTCT